CCAGGAGTTCCTCCCCCACCAGCCACCCCTTCCCCTCCTCAGCTGACCCAGCCTGGTGGCCAACCGCCCTTTGCTCTCTGTCCTCAGATCGGCACGACCAGCAGATCGGAAGCCCTGGGCATGTTCTCCTTGGACGGGGAGTACGTGGACTTCACCCACCCGGTTCTGCTGGAGGGACCCGTGGAGGTGAGCGACTTCTCCCCGCCGCCTCGGCCCTCCCCGGCAGGGGAAGGGGGACGCTGCTCACGTGTGCGTGGTGTGGCCCCTCCTTTCAGGAATGGCTGTGCGACGTGGAGAGGGCCATGCGCTGGACCTTGCGGGAGGTGCTGAGGAGCTGCCGACTCGCCCTGAAGAAGATGCTGACCAAGAGGGACAAGTGGGTGAAGGAGTGGCCCGGACAGGTGACTCAGAAGGCCAGCGGGGTGGGCTCGGCGGCAGGCGCCCCACACGGCGTGTCTGCGGCCCCCACCGCTGCCTGGCTGGCTTAAGCACGTGCCTCGGGGAAGAAGCAGGGTGGGGGTGCCGACCCATCAAGCGGGAGGTAGTCTTTGATTTGCTGGTGGCCGTGGGAGTGACCCGGGTGGTCTCTGCCACCCTCCTGGGAGTAAGAGAAAGGGGCGGAGTCATCCAGTGGCATCTTGGGACGGCTGCAGGGTTTCCCAGACTCTCAGGGATCCGAAGGAACGGGAGCCTGTTGGGCCTGTAGCCACAGTGGGGGCATCTCAGGGCCCGGCCCCCTGACTCACTGCCAAGGCCCGCCCCCCAACTTTCCGTCCAGCCCAGGCCTGGCGACTTCCCATTTTTTATTTTATTTGTGGTGCTCCCTTGGGGGTATGTGTGTGTGCGGGGTCCCCCTGACTTATTTATTTTATTATTTATTTATTTATTATTTATATTTCTATTCCGCCCTCCCCGGAGGCTCAGGGCGGCTTACAAGGCATATCGCCAGATAATACAATAGAACAATAGAAAACATTAAAATATTAAAATACATCACAGTAATGAACAAATTTTGGTGCTCCTCTCCTGAAAACAAGATGGCCGTCCCCTAAAACGTCCCATTCTCACCCAAGGTGCCCGCATCATGGTGACCATGTACAGAAATCATGGGGCATTGGTGGTACAATGGCAATGGCGGCTCCTATTCAAAAGCCTCGCGGAAGAGCTCCGTCTTGCAGGCTCTGTGGAACTGTGCTAGGTCCCACAGAGCCCTGATCTCCTCTGGGAGCTCATTCCACCAGATAGGAGCCGCCACCGAAAACGCCCTATTCCTGGTCATGACGAGTTTGATGGACCGGGGACCTGGCACGTCCAGTAAGTTCTGATTCCCCGACCGTAGTGCTCTTGGGGGAACATGTGGGGACCAATTTAAAGGCCCCCCGAGTTAAAAAAGAACCCTGGCTCCAGGCCTGTAGCCTGTAGGTCCTTTCCTTTCCTGGAGGGCATCTTGTTGGAAGGTGTCTTGGACCTGTGGGGCTCCGTGCTCTTTCGGCCCACATTCTAGGGTGACGTGGAGAATCCGAGCTGTGTGTGATTGTGAACGAAGGAGCTGCGGGAGAGATCCTCAGGCGTTCAGGGCCCCGATTTGTGCAGGGGTGTGTGTGTGTGTGTGTGCGGTTTCCAGGACTCACAGCTCACGCCCACGGCCTCCCACGGCTGCTTACCCAGCATTCCCTCGCAGATGGTGATCACAGCCAGCCAGATCCAGTGGACGACGGATGTGAGCAAGTGCCTGACCACCTGCCGGGAGCGAGGGGACAAGAAGTATCTCAAGGCCATGAAGAAGAAGCAGGTGAGAGGCAGCACAGGGGCCCCTCCCACAGCTGACCCGTCCGTCTCCTTCTTGGGAACGGCTGCCTCTGGCACCGTGGCCTGCTTGCCTGGCGGCTCAGAGGTGTGCGGGTGATCATACCTATGCTGCTGACAAGTGGAAGAGTGCCAGGGTCTGCTTATCTTTGGGGTCTGTTAGGGCGGGGGCCCCCACGTGGTGCCCGTGGGTATCTTGATGCCCACTGACGCCACTCCTGGCGCCTGCCAGGTGTTTTTAGAATGTGGGCGGGGCCAGGTAGGGCTTTTGCCCAGCAAGGCTTCTGATTGGCCATTGGATATTTGATTGGCTGGGCAGATTTTTTAAAGCGTTCCTTTGGCGGCAGCTGCCACCACAGCCCCAGGATCTTCTCTGTGTGACTAAAGGTAAGCTGCGGCAGCCATTCTGTGGCTGGCTCCGTTTCCGGCGCACTGTTCCCTCCGAGCTGAGTGAGTGTGAGCCAGCTCACAGTTTTTTAGCCTTCGGCTCACACATTTCTGTCTCAGCTCAGGAAGGATGGGGCTCCAGAGCAAACTAACTTATGCCGCAGCCAAATCGCTCACCCGCAACTATAATGCCAGTCGCTCACAAAGTAGAATTTTTGCTCACAAGACTCCACAGCTCAGAGGGAACGTCCTGCGGCAGCCATTTTGTGGCTGGCTCCGCCTCCTGCAGCAGCCATTTTGTGGCAGCTATTTTGTGGCTGCACCCACCACGCTGTGTCAGAATTCAGCAGGTGTTCACAGGCTCAAAAAGGTCACGGACCCCCATTTTAGGGAGTCCGGAGCTGTGGAGATTGGGAGTCCGAGGCGTGTTTGCTCTTTGACCTGGCTCCCTTATGTCTAGTTGTCCCCCAGAGGAGCTCTTCTCTAGGACCGTCCCATACTTAGGGGATAGAAGCCCACGCTTTGAGCTTCCCGCTACTCCGAGAGAACTTGCACGTTCTCCCAGCTGCCAAACTGCCCCCGTGTTCTTTACTCCATCTTGGGGTGGAGATCTGGTGGGGGGAATGGGATTTCCTCGGACTCTCGCGAGGAGAGTCCTGCTGGATGAGTCCCTCCAGTCCAGCATCCCGGTTGCAGTGGTGCACGTCTAGACGCTTTTAGGGAGGCCCACGCCTCACCCCGCAACGGTTAATCTGGGCAACGCTATCAACGACCGCGGGGGCTCCACAGCCTCTGACGGACATCTTCTGCAAGAACGAGGTCTTTCCTCTGGGCAGGTGTCCATGCTGAACAAGTACTCCGAGGCCATCCGAGGCAGCCTGACCAAAATCATGCGCCTGAAGATCGTGGCGCTGGTGACGGTGGAGGTCCACGCGCGGGACGTCATCGAGAAGCTCTACAAGAGCGGCGCGGTGGACGTGACGTCCTTCGAGTGGCTGAGCCAGCTCCGCCTCTACTGGGAGAAGGTGAGGGGGGGCACGGGAGTGGAGGGGGGAGGCCGGAGGGGGCTGCCTTGCTGGTGAGAAAGCCGGGGAAAGGGGCGGTTGTGGTGCCACACGGAGCTGCGAAGAGCTCCTGCTGCTGCTGCTGCCCTCTGCTGGAGACAGGGAGCCGTACTCTGCACCGCCTGCTCTGCAAACTGGGCTTTGGCTTCCCTCTGCTGTTCGTGGTGAGGAATGGCACAAGGCTTGGCTGTGAGAAAGGGAGGTGTGAGCCGGGGGG